AATATATGTTTGAGTATTTTATTAGAAATCAGAAGTTATGTTGCAAATTATAATTAAGAATTAAGAATTTCTCAAAATTAAGAATTTCTTTCTAAAAATCAACGTTCATTCATAAGGGGTCAAATGACTCCTTATGGCAAGATAGGTATACGTAAAATGCCGGTACGTTTAGTGCTAAGATAATAAAATAATTATATTCTTCGCGATATGATTGATGTCTTTATGTGTGTAGATGAATCCGCAACACACGGTACCTACAATTGACGATAACGGTTTAATCATGTGGGAAAGGTAAAATTTATATAAACTTTGATATTTAAATAGCATTTTCTTTTGTTTCCTTTCTCAATAACTTGCTATTATACGTGCTTAAATGTTTTCAGATTCGTGATAACGAAATTTGATGAATAGAATTTTCGTAAGAAATAAATAAAAGAAAAGATTCTTGTTCGAATTATATTATTATTCCGATACGATTTTATAATGCTGTGTTGTAACTGTGACACAAGGACAAGAGAACAGATTTCCTTTAAAGGGTTTCCAACACTTACTTTACATTTATTCTACACGTGTACAAAACACACACAATAAGACTAACAGGATCGAAGAATAAAAACATCATGTGTGTTTCAGTCGAGCTATTATAACATACTTGGCAAATCAATACGGCAAGGACGACTCATTATATCCAAAGGATCCGAAGAAACGTGCGCTCGTTGATCAGAGATTATATTTCGATGCATGCACGCTGTACAAAGCTTGCTTAGATTATTACGTAAGTTACACATTATTATTTAATGATTTTTAACGGCAATTTCTCCGACCCTTTTATCGAAACATAAAAAAGTTGTTTAAAGTTTAAAATTATTTGTAAATAATTTTCTTGTCCATCATTTAAGCTAGTCGTCTAATGTTTCATTTCAAAATACACGTGTGTGAAGCAAACAGATAGCTAATCGTAAAAATCTTTGTTCACAGTACCCTATAGTCTTCTATAAGGCCCCCAGAGATCCAACGAAATATGTAGCCATTGGCACGGCTTTGTCGTTCCTCGAAAAATTCCTCGAAGGACAAGACTACGTGGCGGGGAAAACCATGACTCTGGCTGATCTAGCAATTGTCGTCACTATTTCCACATTGGAGGTAGTTGCCTTATCGAAACTCTACTCTCTAAAAAGTTAGAAATAAGGCAAGAATAGTTGGTGAAAACTATTCTTTTATACGCAGTCACATTCACTCGTGTTGTATTATTCTTAACAACAGATCTTGGGCTACAACCTCGGCAAATATAAGAACGTGACGAGATGGTTCGCGAGGATCAGGTCAGAAGCTCCAAACTATGAAGACAATGATGCTGGCGCAAAGGCGTTTAAACAATGGTCGGAAGATATGATGAAAAATTGAACGTATTTAATGTACAATATGATGATAGAAAGAAGAAATTCTTTTTCTAAAAATAAATATTAATAAAATATTATCATTCGTTCTACTTGAATACTTTTAAAGAATATCCCACTCGTTACTTGTACATAGGTAACTTTTGATAGGGCCTAACTAACTATCATCCAGCCAGAGGATTAATATTAATTCCGAAAGTTGTCCTTTCCAACAGTGGGAAGAACACTCTCTATTCAACGAGGCAAGACATTGAACGATATTATAAATGACCGTGCACGACCTCGTAAGATCAATATATCGCAAGTTCATAAAGTCATTTCAAAATAGCCTATGTGCTAATGTTCGGCCCCGAGATTATTATTATTAACTAAAAGTATAGATATATGACAGTGATAATTGAAAAAACCGTGTTTTTAATATATATACGCTGAGTATATCACAATACGTGCAAAATTAAACGTAAACTATTGACGAACGAAATTTAAAAAACGAATATCACGTTTAGAAGTTATTGCGAGCGGATAAGTGTGAATGAAGCAGTAATACGTCCAACATTCAATTGTTTCGTTCACACAAATGAATATTTTTTTCTTTAACGTGCTGACAAGTAACAGGTCGCGTTCGACGCATGCTCGTTCATGCTCTGCACTATGCACATTTTGTTCGCTCATGTTCGCTCATGCTCATCCACGTTGTTCGTCAAATCCAGTTTCAACACGCTCGTAAACATATATACTATAGTGAAGACGTTATAACGAAACGTCGATGCGTATACTCGATCGAATTTTCTGAATTCTAAATTCTAAAAACTCGGTGCGAAAGCTAAATTTTAGAAATACTACTACATAATAACGAACATGTACGTGAATAATGAATTTTCCAATGGGATATTAGCCAAGTGTTTAGTCCGTACTTGAATATCGTAGAAATAACTTATAATCAATAATGAAATAATTAGTTTACTTGTTACTTCAAAAAGCATAACGTATTATTAAAAAAAATGTATGTTTAAAAATAAACTCGTCGCATGTCCCTCGACTAGTACTACATTTAAAGTTCTAGTAATTTTAAGAGAATAAGAGTTTAAAATAAAACTCCGATACTCCTTTTTACGATGAAAACTAAAAGCACGGTGCAATTGACATCGGACTGACGTTCACACAAGAGAGAAAAACTGTTTCGAACTCATTTAAGGTGCAATTAACATTATCACGTACGATACGGTAAATAGTGCGATCAACATCGAATACGAATTAATGAAGCTTGTAATTATAGTAGCCACTTGCTGTTCGCAATGCGGCCAATTTACTTTAACAGTGACCATCCTTTTGAAGTTCATTTGCTAATTATCCTCGACCTCGGTTTCGTGTACGTTTTAATTACGCTACAATGATCAGGAAAATTCTTTTTAATCGATACTTTCTTCTCTCATTGCCTTCTACTCTGTAGCCAAACAAGGAAGATCTTTTCGCGGAAGGAACTTTGAACCCTACGTTAAACACTTCTCCTAATGAATAAAACATCGTCAAGCAAGAATAAATACTTTTAATAGACGTTTTTAGAGGAGAATTTTTATTACTTAACTTTTTTATTCATTCGGAAGGAATCTATATGTAGAATATTTATGTATATAATTTATGCATATAGAAACCTACGATTTACATAATTCTGACAGTAATATTTCGTCTGAAGGAAAGCAATGTGAATCAAAGGCAGAGCCAATAAAATAAAACTATATCCGATCAATTTTCAAACATGATACTTGTCAGAAGAAAAATTAACTGTTACAACCAAGCGATGGAATTGCCTTCCCTATATACATACAAGTACATATATATCTATTATATATGTATATATCGAATGTGTCAGCGCACAAGTTCTACTCGCAATCAATTCACCCGTACGAAGCAAAACTGCACTGTACTTTCTTTTCATCATTCGCAAAGAAGCATCGCACTTAAACAATAGTTGCAAAGCACGCTAATTGTAAATTCATTATTACAAAAAAATATAGTAATTATTTCTTTGCGTGCCGCGATCGTGTTCACTGTTCCGTGCGATTCGAGAAGGGACGCCAAGATTTACTACCTACTTCATAAAATTTCTTAAAACAACGTAGAAACCTAAACTAAGAAACCTTTGACAGGTGAGAAATATAGTTTGTTATACCGTATATTCAGTTTTCCTTTTTCAACATTATTTATCTGTACCCTTGAAACCGTTTCGCATGTATGCTTCGTTAATAGCAGATAACAGACCTATTATTTTAATTTAGCCATGTACTTATGTTTGTTGCGCAAAAAGAAATGAAATTCATATATATAAATGAAATTGTCGCACATTTGAAGCTCGTTAAATTTTCGTTCGTTTCATTCGTCGCGAATCACGTTGTTTCCGATTTTAGCTACATCGTTCATTTCTATCTCATTTTCTGCCCCCTTCGTTTCTTTTCCCTACGCAAGTTTTCTCCATCTGCATTAAAGTTTGAGAAAAGGCGAATATTCAGGGCGCAAACAATGCAAAAAGTCGCACAATAACTCTTGGCATTGTTGAATAATGACGAAGGGAATGTGGCATGAGACGCGTTAAATGCGAAGCAACGCACACAGCATAGTTCTGTAACTTTCGTATATGTGTGTATATTGATTTAGTCGGTGATATTGATTCTATCGAAAATCGTTGTGAACGGAACTGGCGACGCTCAAAAAAAAAAAAAAAGAACGTCTGCGATGGAATATTTCAACACTTTTCGCTAGCTATATCGAACGTTTGAAAAAGTTGCGAAATATTCTTTTCGTTTGGAAGCGAAACACTATTCGACAACAGAAAAAAAAAAAAAATATATCGCGATGATAATTTCAAAAACAGCGGTTTTTCCCGAGTTGTTCTATATATTATAATTTCAGTTACTCGATTCACTGATTCACCGATATTAAATATATTCTTTCAGTTAACAAACAATCATGTCGGTGGATTTATATTACATGTCATTAAGTTCACCTTGCAGAGCGGTACTTTTAGCTGCTGAGGCCATTGGTATTTCTTTAAATTTGAAAGAAGTAGATCTATTTTCAGGTGAACAGCTAAAGCCAGAATATGAGCAGGTCAGCATGATTAAAAATTCTTTCTCAAAGTTTATTAGATGACAATCTATATATATATATATATATATATATAATATTACGAAATGTACATATTTCTATAATATTTACGATCAACATAGCAAATATCATAGATAATATTATATAAATTTAATGTACAATCAGGGATTAAAAATCTCAAATAAATATCAAAACTTAATGAATCATTCCGAACAATTAACTGAAAGTAATTAATGAAACGCGGTAATTAAATGGATTTGACATTGTTTAAATGAATTGCAATGTCAAAATCTGCAATCTTACTTGATAAGCAACTATATAATTCTAATGTTAAACGCAAAGTAACGTTCGATAACTACCTCTTCATTACAGCTGAATCCACAGAAAACTATTCCGTTTCTTGTAGATGGTGACTACAAACTAAGTGAAAGGTTTGCAATTAACTAATATTACTACATTATACGTTTCGTTTAAACAATGTGTTACAAAGTAAAACATAATCGTACTGTCTTTTATCGCCTCTTTTAATAAACGATTGCAGTCGGGCCATCATGTCATATTTAGCTGATCAATATAGTAAAAACGTTCATTTAAATCCACAAACACCGAGTGGCCGAGCCTTGGTCAATCATCGATTACATTTTGACATTGGTACTTTGTACAAAGGCATGAAAAACTGTTACGTAAGTATTCTCGTACTTTTATATTTCTCTTCTCTTCTTTCTTTTTAAAATAAGAAAACTATAGTTCGTAAGATAAAATAAAAAAAAAAAAAAAACAGCATGATAAGATAAGATTAAAAAATTATCAAGTAATTTCCAATACGTAGATAACACCGCGCTGAATTGTTTTTGAACGAATAATTTAGGGGAACGATAAGAATAACTCATAGTCACGTTAACGGACGACACGTACTGCACTCCAAAATTCTTTTGATACCAAATAAATTTCTTATTACAGTATCCGGTTGTGTTTGGAGGAGCAGAGAATTACAATCCAGAAGACTACAAAGTACTGGAAAGCGCGTTTGATATACTCGACAAATTTCTAGATGGGCAAGATTACGTCGCTGGACGCAATTTGACCATTGCTGATCTGGCAATAGCAGCCACTGTATCAACATCAGAGGTGAACGTAGATTATTAGAAAAATGAAAAGTTAATTAAAGATTTGAACGATGACTATTGATTGTAGGTTTTCGGTTTCGAAGTCGAGAAATACACAAATGTTGCTAAATGGATGGATAAAATAAAATCATCCGCGCCAGGTTATCGTAAAGCCAATGGCGAAGGGCTAGAAATATTGAAGAAATTGGCCGATAATTCAAAAACAGAATAATCTATGCCAGTATTAGTATATCGACGTATTATTAAATTTAAAAAAAAATTGAAGATTTTAATGAGTAGACAAATTTAATGTAACGTAGTATTTTTAATAAAATTTTGTATAATCATCTTACAACACAAAATGCTCCTACAAAATAAACTAGCATTAAATTACAAATATGCTTAAACTAGCAATTCTTAGAAACAACCTTTGCCTTACTCAATCAGTTCCACTCCTACTCTATTTCTTAAAACCATCGCGTTCTTCCTAAATCCAAATGAATTTTTCTCCAACCATCATAAGAGCCACTGCATGATTTGCACAATTAACAATCAGTTATATTCAATCAGTTATATCCAGTTTGTTAGCTCTAAATGAAAACTCGATAGAAAGTCAATCACCTGTGCCCATTAAATAACAATGGAAATAATTCGGACATTCGAGCATTCATAATAGAAACAAGCAAACAATGATACGATTTTTGTCCAAATTAGCTTAACTGAATATTGTGTCATTCCTTTAATATGACAACAAAACTGACAACAAAATTGACAAATAGAGGCCAACTTTTACATGATAACGTATCTACAATAATGTTTTAATATACATAATATTACATAAATATAGTGAATCATATATATTTATAATAATACAAGAAATATGCATTTCATGAGGTATCCTTTTTTGGCCTTTCTCCAAATATAGCAGTACCAACTCTAACATTGGTACTTCCCAATTCAACCTACATAATATCAGTATTATATTTTAATATATTGTTGACATTTTTATAAGAGTACAAAAACAATTCTTATTGAAATTACCGCTTGTTCATAATCATTTGACATTCCCATTGATAATTCTATCTTTTTTGAATCGATACCCAATTCTTTTGATACTTTTTCCCTACATTCTTTCAGACACAAAAAGTCAGGATTTGGTCCTTTAGTGACATCATATCCAAACATACCTATTGTCATAAGACCTACAAATTCTAAGCTTGTACAGTTATCAATAATATGTTGAACAAGAGAACAAACTTGTGTGCTTTCACAACCGCTCTTCTCTAAAAATATAAATTTATAATATATTTAATTGATTAAGTTGTAAAATCAAAATGATTAAAATTACAATATATAATACCTTGCTCGTTGCTAGTATTAACCTGTACCATTATTTTTAATTTCAAATTTTCATGTGTTCTACATTTAGACCAAGCAGCATTTAATGCCGATGCAATTTTTTCAGTATCTACTGTTTCAATAATATACAAATTTGGAATAGTTAATAGCTTGTTTATTTTATTACGTTGAAGATGGCCAATAAAATGCCAACATATATCTGTACACGTTTCCAAAATACTTGGATGATTTCCCTTTTCTATTAATTCATTGACATAATTCTCCCCAAAATGTCTTTGACCAGCTTTATACGCATCGACAATTAATTCAACTGGTTTGAATTTACTCACAGCTACTAAACGTGGCTCAAAATACTTGTATTCCTGCGGGAAAAAGGTTAAAAACACAATTTATTACTATTTGGAACGTATCTTAGCATATTTGTATTTTTATACAATGTATCTATATAATTCTAAACTAATCATTACTATAGAAAATATAATACTTATAACATACTGATGGTCTTCTAGCAGAAGCAATATTAATTTTATCCCGCACTACTTTTAAATTTGCCATTAATTCTGCCATTTTCACTGATTTGTAATCTCTTTATCAACATTTCTTATCAGTATGAATAATTTATGATTTATTGTGTAACATTTAAACATCTTATGTATGCTTGTAGCACACACAAAAATATGTGTTACATATTCTATTTATAAGAATATTATCTTGACTAAGTTGTAACACATTTATTATTACAAATTACAAAATATCATAATCCATACTCAACGCCTAACGTGGATGAAGCCATTTGGGCAGCAAGTAGGCAATAAAAATAAAATTATAGTGTTACAATCATAGTTAAGGTCTTATGTATTCGCCTTAACTCATTGTGAATGAAACTGAACATTAAAATTATAGTGTTACAATCATAGTTAAGGTCTTATGTATTCGCCTTAACTCACTGTGAATGAAACTGAACATTATTAGTACCTAGATGTCGCTGACGAATATAGTGAAAACTCCAATATTAACCTTATGTAAGAATAGAATAAGCTACATACTCTAGAGTCTAATATTGTGAAGATCAATTTTGAATGCGAAAAAAAGTATTCTTAGTCTGGAGATAGCTATAAGGTATCGTAACAGTGGCAATTTTGACCGTAACTGAATAGTGTGTATATTGTAAAAAGTGATTGCATGAAGTGAAATTATTTTTAAGATTCCAACATGACATTTCTGAAAACTATACAACCAGGTAAATTTAATAAAGATTTTTTATTTCCTAGTATTTTTTAGTATTATATAAATATAGTAAATATTAGATAATTATATAAATAACATGTAACCTACAATTATAATCTATAAGTAATATGTAACCTGTAAATCTATAATTGTGTGCTTAATTTTATATAAGTGTAATTTTTGCAGGTTTACAATTACTTCAAATGTCTACAAAAATCTTGTATGTACCTGTACGAACTAAATATTTCAGTATTGCAGCAGAACCTACTCAGAATTATACACAGAGAACATTCCTATTGGAAATCATTCGTGGCATGGGAATTACTCTAACTCACGCATTCAGTGAGCCTGTAACAATAAATTATCCTTTTGAGAAAGGTCCATTGAGTCCAAGATTTAGAGGTGAACATGCATTAAGAAGGTACTAATTAATCTTCTTTATTAATGAATCTGTAACTAGTTATTTTTTACTTACTTCTATTTCTTCATTTATAAAAATATAAAGTTACATAAATATTCACAATTTAATCAAGAATATGTTACTGTACTTTTAATTATTTAATATTTATCTAATATGTTTATTTCAATAGATATCCTTCAGGTGAAGAGAGATGTATTGCATGTAAATTGTGTGAAGCAATTTGTCCAGCACAAGCAATCACTATCGAGGCAGAGGAAAGAGCAGATGGATCTCGTCGTACAACAAGATATGATATAGACATGACAAAGTGTATATATTGTGGATTCTGTCAGGAAGCTTGTCCAGTGGATGCAATCGTGGAGGTAATAGAACTTGAATAAATTTCAATATAGTAATTTCATCTAAATTTAAATAACCTAACTCCATCATTAGACAGTTTTTTTAATTTATTTTGAAAGTGATATAAAAATCCAAATATAATAGTAAGTAGATAAATAGAAGTAAGTAAAAAATATTGTTCTTTCTAGATTAAATTCTTTTCCTTTTAAATTCTTTCCTCAAAGATCTGAAAGTACTTTTAGGACAAAACTGCTATGTGTTCTACAAAAATTATAATTCTATCTCCATGATTGAAACTTAAGCGAATACTAATATATTTTCTTTTTTTATATTTATTTTAAATAATTCAAAAATGAAAAATAAAAAATTATACCTGTTTGTTTATTAGTTCTTGATGACATTTAAAAACTAATAAAGGATTTTTTTAGGGTCCAAACTTTGAATATTCAACAGAAACACATGAAGAATTATTATATAATAAAGAAAAATTGTTGAATAACGGAGACAGATGGGAGTCGGAAATCGCAAGTAATATTCATGCAGATTATCTGTATCGATAAATAAACTATAAAATGTAGTGAAATATTACATTTATAGTACTAATAATAAAAAAATGTAAATATTACATTTATTAGTACTAATAATAAAAAACATTTAGTATATTAATAAATATTATCTATATAATATAATTTTCAAAAGACAATTCTATTTTTTTTTTTAAGAATAGCATTAATAATTCCTATTCTTTTATGGTTACATAAAATTTTTTCAATGTTTTATTATTTTTTATTTTAAAGTTATAATTAATACTTTGACTGCCACAATGACCACGATGAAAATTTGAAATAAAAATAATTAAATAATATTATAAAATAAAAAATGCTTTTATTGTAAATTCCATTTTTTCTGTAACAATATTTAAATAAAAATTAAATATTTCATTCTGTGAAACACGTAAATTTCACATGGCAGTCAATGTGTTAATTACACATTGTTGCTCTCCTTTAGTCTATTGGATAGAAATTTCAACTGCTTATAAAAGCATTTCCTAAAATAAATATAAAAGAAAGTTGAGGATCTAAAAACAAAGATACAATTGCAAAAGTTCATAAATTAATTCTTTGAAGTAGTTCTTTTAGAAATAAAAATTTCTACAAAGTCAATGAAATCATGGATTTGAAACAAATGCTGCGAAAATCTCGTGGAACTAAAAATCTATGTCCTCATCGCACATTATTGTGTCTTTTGTCTACTGATGATGCTGCCGTCTGAACACTTTTTAACTTCGCCTATTAACTAACTATTAACTAACTAAAGGCAGAGACAAAATCACAGACGAGATGTATGAATAGATCAAGCTTCGTGTCCCATGTTTTAAAATATCGACATAGTAAAAAAAATCACTGGTTTTTTTAGCACTTTTCTATGACTAAATAACAGTGAGTTGAGGAACTACATCGAGTAAACGGATCATAGTTGATCAAGTAATAAATGCGTCAGAAACATGATTTTTAAAATCCATTACAGTGTTATTAAATTTTTCAATATCGGAATGTGAAGCTAGTAACTAAACGAAATCATTCTACTATATGTCAGAAAGAGCTCTATCCATATTTTATGCCATTAAGATGATCTTTTTTTTTTATATTAAAATTCTAAAGTTATTAATATAATTAAAGAGCCTGTCAGTTCAAAGAAATTTTATCAAAAACCCTATATAATATAAGAGAAATTAAAAAGAAGAAAGAACAACCCTCACTGTAGAAGAAAATTAATCCTAGACTTTCTAAAATTTTTGTACGAAAAATATATAAATTCGGATGAAATATTTTCCACAAGCTTACAAATTTACGTTATCCATATAACAAAACTTCATATTATTTATTTCTCATTTAATGGGTATGTATATCTACACAAACATCTAACCGAGATCGCAGCCAATCAGCTCGTATTACTTGCCACATAATTGAATCAGTTATGTAATTAATTTAGTTTAGCTAATAACAATGCAATTAGTAATTATATATCAAATAATGTCGATTGCACCACGTGCTTTGAATCTAAAACAATAGCCAGAAGGACTATTGAGAAAAAGAAGCAGTAGCCAAAAGAGCTACCAAAAAGCAAGAAATTCCTACTCAACAATACAATAACCAGAAAAGTTGTCTACATTTTATAAACC